GGTTTGGTTTGGTTTGGTTTGGTTTGGTTTGGTTTGGTTTGGTTTGTTTTTAATTTCACCATTTTCTCCTCCCTAACACTAAGAAATGCATGCAAGCTAGAACTGACAGCATTTGGTGTTTTAAAATTGATGGAATTTATTTGAAACTCATTTGGCTATGCTGTATTACTGCATCAAGGCATTTCTAGCTCCCAGATTTCCAAATTATGTTAAAGGGGAAATGTTTTGTTCTCTTTCATGGCCATGAGGACCACAGTGGCTAGTATTAAAACAGTCAGGAATTAAAGTTTAAATCTTTGTCCTAGATCTTTTGCCGTTGGAGCAGGATGCTGTCTTTGGCCTCGAATCCCTCCTTGTTCTTTGTAGTCAAGACAGCAGTCCAGGTACTCAAGCGACCTTAAAGGTAAATAATAAATCCACCCCCACCAACCCAGTTGTCTTCCATATTAATCTATGTAAGAGCAATGCAGGTTGTTTTAGTGGGGCCGCTTTTTGTGGTCTGGCTAACTACTTAAAATAGAAATAAATGCCCAAGCACTACAGAATGCACGCAGATCAAGGGCAGGACTCATTAAGTTAGCAAGTCCGGAGTAGCCCAACATTTGCCTCACTGCTCTTGTGAACTGGCCACCCCATATAACCAAAGAGTGAGGACTGACATGCAAATGAGTTAACGCCCTTTGTGGAGCAGGTAGTCAGGAAAAATACTTGGTATAGGTGAATATGTAGTTTGTCTCATTGTCGTTCCATACAATAAGTAGTCATATTATATGTGTTGACTGTATATAGCATGAGTCTCATCTTTGTAAAAACAGAACGGAGATGGGACTAGAGTGCTATCCTATGTTTAAACCACATAAACCACAGTTCGATCCTGGCTTCTTCCAATGAATCATAGTTTAAGCTAAACACAGTTTATCCTTTTTAGGCAGGATATAATCAGCCCAGCTTAGTTTTAAGTTTAGAAGCAGCTGATGATTCCCTAAGCTGGAAGGGTCTGCTGTACAGAAGCTTAAGGGCAGTATCCAACAAAACATTTCCATTAATGCAAGGACTTCTGGCTCTGCAGCGTAACTTCCATTCCCTCTCCTCTCTCTGTGCACTTCCTAAATCTGAATCCTCCCTGCATGTTCTTTAGTTTAGAGGGTTTGGTGGTTTGGCAGAATGCCTTTGTGTTTTTTGGTTTATCCTTAATTTTGCACCTTCATGGTTACATGAATGTTGTGACCAAAAACGAGTAGCATTTGATAGATTTGCGATGAATGTTAAACAAGCGTTTTTTGTTTTCCCCAAATGCAGATAGCACTCACTTGCATGGTGAAGCTGGCCAAGTGCCGCCCCCACCTGAGCCAGTCCATTGTGGAGTCCTTGTTGACACAGCTGCACAGCGCTCAAGATGCTGCCAGGATTCTCATGTGCCACTGCTTGGCAGCCATTGCCATGCAGTTACCGGTCTTGGGAGACGGAATGCTGGGGGACCTGATGGATCTCTATAAAGTGATTGGACGATCTGCATCTGATAAACAGCAAGAGCTTTTAGTAAGCAACATTGATTCCAGATATAGCAAACTGGTCCTGGGTACCATTGGATTGAATAACCATTTTGTAAACATGTAGTATTACATGTTGTGTAACAGTCAACTTGCCTCATTGCAGGGAAAACCATGATGCAGTTACAACATTGCTGTGTTTTTTGCTTTCTCTTCTCATCATGGGGTTTCTTTCTCTTTTTTTTGTATCCTTTGCCATGTTTCTTCTGTCCCATTCTTTCACAGCGTTAGCATTCACGTTTAAAAGACTTGTTACTTCTCTTTTCATTTTTGGTTATCAAACCTGTTGTAATAATAGTAATAATGATAATATTTTTTTATTTATACCCCGCCCTCCCCAGCCAAGGCTGGGCTCAGGCAATAATAAAAACAAGTTGAATGAATACAACTTAAAAACAAGATTAAAATACAACATTAGTGTTGTAGAGAAATGCATAGTGGTTTGGGATAACAATTTTACACGAAAGGATTTCATTGCTTCTCGTTTCCTGCCTGTGGTACTGGAGGAATGTGTCTATGAACTTGTGAGAGAGTGAAAGCACATTATGACAAACCACTGGTCCAACAAGTTTGAAAGCATATATCTGGGCAGACCTATCCTTCATCTAACCTATGATTGCCACTAGTCACGATGCTTTCAAATAACCCCATAATTTTCAAAGCCAAAATGCTTCTGTCTAACAAATATGAGGGATTAGCATCAGAGCACTGTTTTAGAGAGAAGCTTGTTTGGCTACTAGATGAGGTGCTAGATAGACAGTTGGCTTTTTTAATTAAATAATGATGTCACTGGACACCTTGGATTTCATTAAGTCAATGTGATTACTGAAAGAGGTGTGTGTGTGGGTGTAGAGAGAGAGAGAGGAAGAGAGCATTTTTAATACTGTAAATGAAAAAAAACCCCATTGAACTTGATGGTACAGAGGAGTGGCATGTTAAATTGTTTAACTTCTATTAAGTAAGCATCAAACAGATGTTTGTATTTTTCAGCCAGTAAAGGAAACTGAAAAGTCTGCATCCCAAACCTGAAACACATCCATTTAGGAGTATATCTGCAGTCTTATTAACCTTAATCCTCCGTCAGTCCAGTAGGTGGCACTTGTTTTACATGGGTGGTCAGCTTGGCCTGGAAATGACAGCACCACTGGAAAAAGTCTTACCCATTTCCACCATGGCTGTAGACAGGACAGCTCAAAGTGGATTTGATGCATCCCATGTCTGCATGGTTTTTGTATTGCCCGCCTTATCCAAGTGGCAGCCCTTATGCACACCCCATTTGATTTGAATCTTGCCCAATCCACGGATAATGTGGGTTGGGGAGCGACTTTACTCAGCTGTGGAGGTGTTGAAGCGCATTATGTGGGTGCGGTTTTTTATACATGTGATGTTTTGCTGGGTGCCATAATCACCCCTTCTACTGCTTCCGTTGGTAAGGCACTCTTTGGTGGGCTCAGGCAACACAAATGAACATATAATTTTATTTATTTATATTTTATATTAACATATAAAAGTTATTTATTGTGACTGTGTTGTTGAATGTTTTTCTACTTCATAATATCTTTGTAAGCCTCAGAAGCTTAACAAATGGGAAAGTGTAGAAAAGGACCACCAAAATCAAGAGGTTAGAACACCTTCTGTACCAGAAAAGGCCTTTTTGTTTAGGAAAGAGCATGTCTAAAGGTTGGACATGGTAGAGGCTCGTGAAATTATGTATGGTGTGGAGAAAGCAGGTTTTTTGCCCTCTCATATAAGACTAGAAATTGGATCAGTCTGTGAAATTGATTAGCAGTAGATGCAGGACAGATGAGAAGAAGCACTTCAGACAGCACATAATTTATGGAATTGTGCTCATAAAATGTGAAGGTGACATTAGCTTAGATGGCTTTAAAGGGGGGATTAAGCAAATTCTCACATCAATCATTAGCCATGAGGCAGTGCTGAATGCAAGTTGCAAAGCAATAATGCAGAGCTGTTGTTTTAATGCCCTTCTGGTGATACCTGACTGATCACAGGTGCTGATTTGTAGTTTGATTTAGCAGGGCTTTTACGAGGGCATAAAGCCATTTCACTACCATTGGTTGTATCCAGCTAAGTTGTTCTCAGAGTAGACCAGTTGAAATCAGTGGCCTTAAGCTAGGCCTACGCATTAATTTCAGTGATCCAGTTGTATATAACCCCATGTTTACTTGCCAAAGCTTGCAATCCTTTTCAGACAGACCCACTTGCAAGCAATTTCCACTGAAATCCATGAGACTTTACTGGAGATAAATGTATCCAAGCTCAAGAGTGTTGGACTGGGTCCTAAGCTCTATTGGAAGTGTGTTTGGTATTAGAGTGGTTAACCTTTCAAATAAAGTAACATAAACTATTCAAATGTAGCACTAAACCGTGGTTTACAGAGTATGAACCTTAGACTCTGCCTTCCCCTTCTATATTCCTCCTGTTGTGGTCAGAGATTGAATAAAGTACTTACCACTCCTGGTTTAGCAGCAATGCTGTTTTGTCTAAACCTAGTAAACTATGGTTTGTGTAACCCGCCGTTTCCCCACAAACCAGGATTGCATTGCAGTTTGATCCTAATTTGTCATTGTGATTCTGATTGGAAGGCAAATTTACTAGTTTTTTACTAGTAAATTTACTAGTGAACCAGGTACATAACTACAGTCGTACCTTGGATGTCAAACGGAATCTGTTCTGAAAGTCTGTTTGACTTCCAAAATGTTCAGAAACCAAGGCGTGGCTTCCGATTGGCTGCAGGATTCCAAAGAACGTTCACAAACTGGAACATTCACTTCTGGGTTTGCGGTGTTCAGGAGCCAAAATGTTTGACTCGCAAGGCGTTCAGGATCCAAGGTATGACTGTATTCATTGTGCAAGTGGTGTGTGTGTGTGTGTGTGTGTGTGTGTGTGTGTACCTGATGAGACCAAAACTCATGCTGGTGATGGCAGACTATGATTCCACATTATTTGTGGCTAGGGACTGTGTGATCTATTTTTTCATTCAGCTTTGCGCTATTCCTTCCTTGTTAGGTATCTCTTGCTACTGTGATATTTGTTGCCAGCCAGAAGACTTTATCCTCTGAAGTGAAAACTGTTATCAAACAACAGCTTGAAAATGTCTCCAATGGATGGACAGCTTACAGGATAGCCAGACAAGCTTCCAGAATGGTATGTGTGATCCATAATTTATAATTCAGGTTTCCCCAATAAGCAAGGCTAATTGACTGAGTTGAAAGTAACTCTTTGTACTCCTTAAATTCCCCATGAAGACTGTAACCTTTTGGGGAGATAGCTGCCCCACCTACGTGATCCAAAGTGGCTGCATTCCCCTCCCCACGTACTAGGGTCTTTTTTAAAGAATAAGGAGTAGAGTTAAAATATGTGAAAGCATGCTAAATTAAAACAATTCTACCTGCCAGATTCCAGCTATTGATGGACCAATTCCCCTCAGCTAATTTTACAACGGACGCGGGTGGCGCTGTGGGTAAAAGCCTCAGCGCCTAGGGCTTGCCGATCGAAAGGTCGGCGGTTCGAATCCCCGTGGCGGGGTGCGCTCCCGTTGCTCGGTCCCAGCGCCTGCCAACCTAGCAGTTCGAAAGCACCCCCGGGTGCAAGTAGATAAATAGGGACCGCTTACTGGCGGGAAGGTAAACGGCGTTTCCGTGTGCTTGCCAGATGCAGCTTTGTCACGCTGGCCACGTGACCCGGAAGTGTCTCCGGACAGCGCTGGCCCCCGGCCTCTTAAGTGAGATGGGCGCACAACCCTAGAGTCTGTCAAGACTGGCCCGTACGGGCAGGGGTACCTTTACCTTTAATTTTACAACAACAAAAAAGCCAGCTGATTTAATTGGAGGCATGGTAGGGTCTGGATACCATTTTGTAGAGTCCCATTTTGGCAGCTGTTAATTGGAGCACTCATCTTGAGCAGGGGCACTATTTTAGATTTCATTGGGAAAGACTAAGGCCTTTCAGTGGGGACAGCAAGATTCTCAGCAAGGTTCCACTTGTGGGATATATTAAAGCTTTAAATGGCAAGAACGACTTTGAAATGTTTTTAACAATTTCATATTATTCTGATCCTGTTTTATCGTTTGGTTTAAGTGCAGAGTTTTGTTTTTGTTCTGTAAATCTCTCTCTTGTTGCCCTGCACAGGGTAACCATGGCATGGCCAGAGAGCTGTATCAAAGCTTGCTGACTCAGGTGGCTTCAGAACACTTCTACTTCTGGCTAAACAGCTTGAAGGAGTTCTCCCATGCAGAGCAGTGCCTGACAGGGCTGCAAAAGGATGATTATAGTTCAGCACTTTCCTGTATTGCTGAGTCACTGAAATCTTACCACAAAGGAATAGCATCCTTAACGGTCAGTGTGAATTCTCTCCCCCCCCCTTACTTGTTGCAGGCCTGTAGGTTAAAGCAATTGTCCCTTTTCACTGCCGTTTCTAACTAGACTCTTCTTCAAATGTCTTGGAAGAACAAATGTTGCGCTTACACCTACTTTCTTAAGCAGCAGTAGCTTATTCCAGCAAGAACTTTAGTGTTTAAGATCTTCACCTTCTTTCTGTCTACATGGCCATCTGAGTGGATTGGTTGCTACCGAATTGGCATGTTGGCAGTGCAAGACTCCAGCAATAATTTCATCAGTAAGGTAGCTTACTCCTGTAATAATTAAACCAGTAAACTACTGCTTTTTGACAGAGTAGGTATGAACCCAGTGCTTTCATGATCACATTAACATTTATCATCACATGAGTGCACAGGAGGCAGAGATTGAACAATAGCAGTCTTGGCTGCAGTATGAACGATCTCGGATTCCTTGTGCAATCAGCCAAGAGTCACCAGAGTTCTATTCCGTAAAACGAAGACCTTTCCTCCCCTTTTGTTTACCTTCGGTTGCATTTGCCGGAATGGAACTGTGTTCTGCATTCTTGAAATGCTTAGCCAGGGAGAGGGACTTGCCCTGCTGCACTGGAAATATATTATGCAGTAGAGAAACAGCAACTAATTTGTATTTTGGTTACATGAACAACGACATCATTTGTGGATTATTTGCATTAATGTGTTGGAGGCTCGGCTTGACCTTATTATGGACCATGTTGCATAAGCTTATTCTGACATAAATAACCAATCCAAGAAATTCTGGATCTACCACTTAAAATGGGTGTGGGAAGCATGAGACGTGGCCAAGTAATGAATATGCATTCTTAAGCTTCTTCATTTTCAAAGCTTTGCTCAGTTCAGTATGTTGTGGTTAGAACATTGGACTGAATTCAGGCAGGCAGAGATCAATCCAGCGTCACCCCAGAGGTCCAGAGGTGAATTTGACTTGGTCTCTCGCAGACCAAGAGGTCTACCTCGCAGGTTTGTAGTGAGGATAGGAATGGCCCTATATCCTCTGTCCTGATTTTTCATTGCCGTGGCTATTCAAAGAGCCAGAAAAGCCATTTTCTCCTCAGGGAAGGGGGAGAGCCTGCAAAAAAGCACCTTGAGGGGGATACATGTTGTGGTGAGACACAGCTTGTCCAAACTTAAATCTCAAAAATTACAGGATATAAATACATTGTCTTCAAAGTGAGTCCCTTGATGTGGTAGGAAGAAGACAGGCACAAGGCTTATTTAACTTGCCAGTTCTATTGAATTGCTGCAGTCCTGTGTTGCACAATGGGTGCGTGAACATTTCTGACTCCAGAAGAAGGCAATTTGTCAGCTCAGGCAAGCAGAAATAAGACAGAGCTTGGTTTATATGGAGCAGAAAATGTATTTAATTGCTTATCGTGACAAAAATAGTGCCCATTTCAATAGAAGAACCACAGTATGAGAAAATTGATGTTTTAGGTTGCCTTTGCAATGTATGTGCCCTAGTTTGAGCCTTTTATTAACCTAGTAATCGTTTCTTATGAAGCTTTAAAAAGGCAGCTAAGTAGTTTGTTCATCTCTCTGGGCAAATACTGATTTGGTTGTTTCATGTGTCTTTTATTGTGCCCTTTGTATATGGAAATCACAGAGCTTTGTTTATTAGCTTGGACATCCGCAGAACTCTGACAAATATGTTAATTCAGAAAGTATTGCTGCTGAATGCATACAAGCTGTGTGTCTACATGCCATTTACAAATGCATACTGTCAGAGCTGCTCCCCGATCCCAGCTCACAGAGGATCACGCTAGCCAGCGTTCACTTTATAAAAGTCTTTATTGAGTTACAGTTTCCATTTCCAAGCTGCTGCGTGCAACTCTACGTCTTATGGCTAGACCGGCGAAGCTCCGTCTGAATCTCCGCCCCTCGTACACCAACTTAATATCCTCGCCTTACTCCACCTTTTCCGCCTGACCGTCCTTCTCTGGGTCCCTCTGCCCCCCGTGGTCTCCTCCCTCCGGGACTCCTCTGGCGCTGACCCCCCGGACCCTCCTGTCTCCTTGCGTCGGGCTTTAGGACCTGGCTCCCTTTCCGGGCTGCTTACTGCGCCGCCTTCCTGTGCATTTGAACTTGGCGCGCGCGCCCAGCCTTCCACTTTCCGCTTGACCGTTTCTTCGCTCCCCGATGGGGGCGTGGTCACTCCTGACTCATGCCCTCCTCCCTGCTGCGAGCTGCCAGGGCTCGATCCCTGACGTCCTTCCTCTCCACTGCGCTCTGGTGGGGACGCTGGCCCCGATTTCCAACTGCTGCCCTCTGAACCCCCGCTGGTCCCTTCCTCCTGGGGTGTCCCCCTAGGCCCCCCTTTGCTCTGGCCACTGGCGCCCCTTTCTGTGAATCTTCCGATTCACTGGAAAGACTCGGAGATCTCGGGTCGTCGTCATCACTCATCCTTTCTTCGGACTCCTCCCCCTCGCTCTCTGTTTCCTCCCTTGCCCTCGCCTCTGCTCCTGAACCCCTGACATCCATCCCCCCCTCGAAGCCCCCCTTTCCCCCCTCCCCTCCTTCCGGTGCGGGAGCTGGGTGCTGCCGAGTCATGGGGACGAATGCCGGATACAGTTCGCTTCCCTTGGCGGGCCTCCAACTGAAGACTTCCTATTCTTCCTCCCTGCGCTCGTCGACAGCGGTCACCTCCGCTTCCATCTCTGTGCCGCCGTGCTCGAAGCCCAGGTTCTCCCCGAACATGTCCACGTCCGTCTCCACCTCAGTCGTTCCCAGGTCCGTCGCTCGACCTGGAACCTCCAGCCACTTCCTGCGCCACTGCTCCTCTGGTCTATCGTCCCACCAATACGAGGGCTCTGAGGCAGATCCCGAGGGCGACCCCTCCGGGGAACGCGTGTCCATTGTCGGTTCCTCGTCCGAGTCAAACCCGTGGAAAGTGCTGGCTGAAAGCGTCGGTGTGAAAAGCCAATCGTCGAAAAAGTCTGCTGGCATGGGCCTGTGTGGGAAAAGGGCGTGAAACTCGTCCTTGAGCAGAGGTTCCTCCAAGGCGTAGCCTGGCACCCAGCTGTTGGCACTGGCCGGGAAGCCCTCCTTGGCGAGGAGGTATTCTACTCCCTCTTCTCCCCATCTAGAGTCCAAAATCTCTGTGACCTCGTTGATGGACTCCTCTTGTGTCACTCCCCCTTGTTCGGTTCCCTCTCGTAGCGGACTCGGAGCCGTTCCTGGTTCCTGAAACCTGTGAGGTGTCTTGTAGGGAGTGAGTACCGACCTGTGGAACACCGGATGCATTCTGGAACCCTCCGGAAGCATCAGCCTGAAAGCCACCGGGTTGATCTGTTCTTCGACTTGGTAGGGCCCTAGTTGTTTATGCCCTAGTTTCTTCTTCGCTAATGACCTGGCCGGCACTGCTTGGGCTGCCAACCAGACCCAGTCTCCCACCTGGATCTCTTCGCCGACTCTCCTGTGTTTGTCCGCTTGCACCTTGTATGCGTGTTTAGCCAGCTCCAGGTGCCGCCGAAGTTGATCGTGGACCTCTTGCAACTCTGACGCGAACGCGTCTGCTGTCTGCGGCTCCCCTTCCCCCATTCTTTCCAGTCCCGGGAAGGTTCTGGGGTGCCTTCCGTTGTTGGCGAAGAACGGCGTCACCCCTGTGGACACGTGTTTCGTGTTGTTGTAGGCGAACTCGGCGAGCGGCAGGTAGTCCACCCACGTCGCAGGCTGTTGATTTGCGTAGCATCTCAGGTACTGCTGCACGATGGCATTGACCCGCTCCGCTTGCCCGTTGGTCTGCGGGTGTCTAGCCGAAGCCAGGTTGATCTTGACGTTCAGGAAGCCCATCAGTTTCTGCCAGAAGTTCGAGATGAACTGCCGCCCCCTGTCAGACAGTATAGACCGCGGCAGACCGTGAACCTTGAACACGTGATCTATGAACAGTTTGGCGGTTTGTTCCGCCGTGGCCACCTTCGCACACGGAATGAAATGTGCCATCTTGGAGAACAAGTCCACCACCACTAGCACTGCCGTTTTGCCCCTCGAGCTGGGCAGATCCGTGACAAAGTCCAGGGCCACTCTCTCCCATGGTTCGAACGGGGTTTGCAGAGGTTCCAGCAGTCCCGCCGGCGGTCTGTGTACTGGTTTGGCCCTCTGGCAGGTGTCGCACCTCGCCACGTAGTCCGCGACTTCTCCTCTCATTCTGGGCCACCAGAAGTCTCTGGCGACTAATTCTATCGTCTTCTCTGTGCCAAAGTGCCCGGCAGTGGGCGCGTCGTGCAACTGCTGCAGTACCTTGGCGCGAAGATCGTCCCCTGGCACGTAGATGGCCCCTTTACGGAGGAGTAATCCATCGCGAACCTGGAAGTCGTCGGTCGCCGCCGTGCCCCTGTGCGCCTCTGCCATCTTTGCTCGCGCGAAAGAGTCGTCCCGCAATGCACGTCGTACCGCCTCCAGGTCAACAGTCGCTGAAGCGCACGCCCACGCTGCCGGTGCGAAGATATGCATGGCCGCCGCTGGCGTCGCCTCTTCGAGGTACTGCGGTTTACGGGAGAGGGCGTCCGCCATGATGTTGGTGTCCCCCGGGACATACTCTATACGGAAGTCGAAGTCCGCAAAGAACTCTGCCCAACGTATTTGCCTCTGGTTCAGGAACCTCGCCGTGCGCCAGTGCTCCAGATTCTTGTGGTCCGTGCGGACCTGCACTGTGTGCTTGGCTCCGATCAGGAAGTGCCTCCACGCCTTGAAGGCTGCATGAATGGCTAACAACTCCCTGTCCCAGATGGTGTAGTTCTGTTCTGACTTGGTGAGCTTCCTGGAGTAGAACGCTCCCGGCCTCCAAGCCCCCTGCGGGTCTTGCTGCAACAGAACTGCTCCTACGGCTCTGTCTGAAGCGTCCGTCTCCACCCTCATTGGTCTGCTGGGGTTGACGTGTAGTAGCTGCTCCTCCGACGCGAAGAGACGCTTGAGTGCCTGAAAGGACTGCTCTGCTTGCGCCGTCCAGATGAATTTCTTCTTCTT